GAATGTTAACACTTTGTAATAATTCTTTAGTATATTACTTGTGTGGTGTAGAAGATAATTATTTAAGAATGTAATTATGTAAGAATGTTAACACTCTGTTATAATTTTTTTAGTATATTACTTGTGTGGTGTAGAGGATAATTATTTATGTAGATTTACTGCTTGCAAACCAATGATGGTAAGATGATGTCATGGGGTAGGACTGGATAAGTCTGACTTCTTCCTACTCCATTCAAGCATGTACTAGGTATAAGCAAATTGATATTGGATTAGCATTTGTTGGATATGTGTAAAATTATGTGTGTTGACATATCAACCGTCTTTACATGCTTGAAAGAATAAATCAAATCAAATCAAATCAAATCAAAAGTTCTGAGAAGGTGATGGATGTTTTGAACAACATACACACTGGCTTGGTGGGGGACTCTGTGTTAAAAATTGTTAATCTTCAAGAAAATTGGGGGAGCTAATATAGAAGTAAGTATATACAGTTTTGGGAGGGCAATGAGTAATAACCCCTGTTGTTGCTGCTGCTATCTGTGTGCTTTCTGTGTGCTATCTGTGTGCTTTATTTTCATTTATTCATTTTGTATTATTCTGTATTGCTTCTTTAAAAAAACAAATGAAAAAACAAAAACATGTAACAGCTTTTCATATGTAGCTTCAATGCTTTTTAAACACCTGTGTTAAGTCAACTTTAAAAACTCACCTTTTAAAACAGGCCTTTGGTTTTAGTATTGCTTTTTGGTTGACACACATGTTCTATTGTGCAGCACTTTTTGCTCCCCGGAGTTGTAAAGTGCTATATAAATAAAGCTTTGTTATTATTATTATTATTACATATTTTCTGAGTACTAGGCATCCTTAACGCTTAAGTGTTGGGGAAAAAACTACAAATCTTGATGTGGTTTTCTGCCGAAAAATAACTGAAATGGATACCAAGCTGTGGGAGCGCTAGCGGAAAGCTGTTATTCCGCCATTATTAGCAAATAATTTAAAATGGCAAGTTGAAGGAACTGTCTCATCATTTTGATCATCAGCTTACATGGACCTGGAGCCATCTAGGCCACCTTTTAAAATTGTCTTTCATGAATTACTTCAGACTTCATCATATTTACATTAATACTACATAGGCTGTATTAAATAGAACACTGAAAAAAATAGCTAATGATTATGAACAATATCAAAGAAGGTGTAGCTTCATTTTAAAGGATAGAGGCAGACTATCAACAAAAATCCCAAAAACCACATGATACAAATGTTATAAACTGAGTTGCATTTCAGTTAGTAGAATAAGTATTTGATCCCCTACCAACCAATAATAATTCTGGCTCCCACAGACTGGGTATGTGCTCATACGGTGCCCAAATTAGTCCTGTCAATTTAAGAAGGTGCTCCTAATGACAGTTTATGTGTTTAAAAGACATGTGTCCACAGAGTTTCTCTATCTTCCATTCAAACCTCACTACCATGGGCAAGACCAAAGAGCTGTCAAAGGAAATCAGGATACTAGACCTGCACAAGGCTGGAATGGGCTACAAGACCATCAGCAAGGAGCTTGGTGAGAAGGAGACAATTGTTGGAGTGGCTATTAACAAAAGGAAAAAATACAAACTAACCATCAGTCGCCCTCGGTCTGGAGCTCCATGCCAGATTTCGCCTCATGGGGTAAGGATGATCATGAGAAAAGTGAGGGATCAGCCCAGAACTACAAGGGAGGAGTTTGTGAATGATCTCTAGGCAGTTGGGACCACAGGCACCAAACAATTGTTAAAACAGTATGCCACAATGGATTGAAATCCTGTAGCACCCACAAAGTCCCGATCCTCAAAGAAAGGCACATCTACAGGCCCATCTGAAGTTTGCCAATGAACATCTAAATGATTCAGAGGAGGATTGGGACAAAGTGCTGTGGTCAGATGAGACCAAAATTGAGCTGTTTGGCATCAACTCGACTCGCCGTGTTTGGAGGAAGAAAAATGCTGAATATGACCCTGGTGGTGATGGTGTTCCATCCCTACAGTCCAACACAGAGGTGGGAACATTATACTTTGGGACTGTTTCTCAGGCCGACTTTGTTGCATTGAGGGGGCAATGGACCGGACCATGTATTGTAAACTCTTGGATGAGAGCCTCCTTCCCTCAGCCAGGACACTGAAGATGGGTCGTGGATGGCTCTTCCAGCATGACAATGACCCAAAGCATACCGCCAAGGCAACAAAGGTGTGGCTCAAGAAGAAGCACATTAAGGTCATGGAGTGGCCTAGCCAGTCTTCAGACCTCAATCCTATAGAAAATCTGTAAAAAAGACTGGACCAAAATCCCTCCTGAGATGTGCACAAACCTGGTGACCAGCTGCAAGAAACATCTTACCTCTGTGCTTGCCAACAAGGGTTTCTCCACCAAGTACTAAGTCGTATTTTGCTTAGGGATCAAATACTTAGTTTACTCACTGAAATGCAACTCAGTTTATAACATTTGTATTATGTGCTTTTTCTGGATTTTTTTTTTTTTGATATTCTGTCTTTATCCTTTAGAATAGTCATTCATCTTCTACACCGCTCAGTCCCAAACAGGGTCACGAGGATGGGGCTGGAGCCAATCCCAGCCTGCAATCGGACGAAGGCGGTACACCCTGGACAGGTCGCCAGTCCAGCAATTTAGAGACATCAATCAACCTAAGCTGCATGTCTTTGGACTGTGGGAGGAAGCCGGAGTACCCGGAGAGAACCCACGCAAGCACGGGGAGAACATGCAAACTCCTCCTTTAGAATAAACCTATGATAAAACTGATAGACCCTTCATTTCAAGTGGGCAAACCTACAAAATCAGCAGGCGATCAAATAATTAATTTCCCCACTGTACATATTGTGGCATTGTAGATTGGTAGTTGTAATGAATCTGCATGGTATATTTTCTGAGTAAGACATGGTTTCAATGCATTCAGTTGGTCCACTCCTGCCTGCTGCGCTTGCTCTCACTGTTTTATTACAGCGGCTGTGTTTCTGTTTTTATGGATTATGTGCTTGTATTCCCCATAAATGTCCGTGAGTGGACATGCTCAGTGGGTCTGAAATATGTCACACATGGCTTTGATGGATTTGTTGGAAAACCCAACCAGTACGGCGCTGTTAATGTCAGTTGGGCATGAAGTCCGTTCACTTTAACAACGCTACTTAACACGCGGCGTGCTGGCAAGGCCAAATGGAGTGAATGTGTGGTTAACCTCAAGGTCTGTTGAAGAAACCCATGAACGTGCATTCATCTGAATTACTTAGACCTGGCTTCACCTCCTCAACCTGGCTTTGCCATCATGAAACATATTAAGCCAGGATGCACTTAGTAGACCAGGTCAAGACTCGCTCTAATTACACGACATTTTAAACTAAATTCTCACGATTCAGTTTTTTTTGCAGGTGCGAAGGATCAGGTAATCAGTAGTACTGACAAAAACAAGACAAAATGGGTCTGTTTTGTTAAGCTCTATGATGGGATCCTTCACTTGCATGACCATGTCTTTGGACCACATATTTAAAGTTTCAATGGACAGCAGCCAAATGCTAATTAGAATCAACACTTAGAATCAACTCCAGACCTTTTATCTGCTAAATCTGACACTAAAATACCCAGTTAACATGCCACACCTGGCCATGAAACTGCCTGACTACATGTGACCCTTTGAAAATGGAGGACAATGTATAAACGTGCTGTAATTCATTAATGGTTAATGCAATATTTTTGTAAAACCCTTTGAAATGAAGCTGTAAACCTACACTTCAATAATATATTTATTGACTGGTTCATTTCAAATCCAATGAGGTGGTGTACAGACGCAAAATTACAAAAACCATGTCCTTGTCCAAATACTACTCGCCTGACTGTATAGACCAAGGAACTGGCCCAGTAAAAAACCTTCCATTCAAAGGACAACAAACACACCTGGTATATGCAAACAATCAGAGTCACTGAGTTCATTTTCATACTACATAAGCTGGAGTTCCTACCATATTCATCATACAATAAAATATGTAAATATTAGAAATGTTTTGATGTGCATTTTGTGCATGATATATTCTTCCAATTGTAATATGGACTTCATTTTTTTATATTAATTAGTGGAAGAACTGATCGGCTCTTGTCATTCTTTGGGCTAGAAACAAAACTTTAGACCTTTAGTCCTGGGGTCAGATTTTGATATCTTCTACACTTTATGACTTCTGGCTGTTGACATTTTAAGGTAAAATTTAAGCTTCTCCATTATTGTGTATTGCACAATATCTACTTTTTGTCTGCTTTCTTGTTTTAAAACAACCACGGTGTATTTATTCCTCCTTCTTCTCTTATTTCCTTTTCTTTCATGCATATTTCCTTTATTTTTCCCATTCTCCCATTGTTTCTTATCTCTTTCCTCTGTCCTCCACCCCCTTCATACCTTTCTTCCATTCTCCTTAATGCTGTTTCCATTTTCAGCTTTCTTCCTTTGGTTCTTCTCCTTCCTGTCTCTAACCCCTTTCCCTTCTTTTCTTCTTCTCTTCTCTCCATCCAAGACCTCCTTCCTTCACCTTTCTTCTTTTCAATTGTCTTCTTTATTCTTCTCTTTCAATTCTGAGCTTGTATATATACAATGTATACATTCAGTTCTCATTTTGCTTTCTTTGTCTTTTGTAATTTTCTTTCAGTCAACTTTTTTTTTGATTTTGGCTCCACATAAATGAACTAACATTTTAACATTCTACATCTTATCAGTTCCCCAAGTCATTTGTTGAGAAATTATCTTTTCTAGTTGGGATTGTTATTGTACCATCGGACATTTGTAATGATGATAAGTCTGTCACATGTATTTTCCACCTTTTGAGTAACAATTTTAATAAATTTTTGGCTTTACTGTACTATTGAATAAACCTAGGCAATATCAGCTTTGTGTGATTAGAGCAGCAGTATAACGACGTGACTTATTGTCAAACTATATCTATTTAAAACTAAAACAGAGTGAAACCTACTTGTGTCCCAGCTCATGAGCGATGGTGAAGGCCAGGTTGAGTCCATTGTCCTCTGTTAACACACATTTCCTCTTTGCACTGCAAACACCACTGAGATATGCAATGCCTGCAACACAGTGACACGACAGTAAGTTTTATTGTACTGTCTGGCACTAACTGATGATTTACTGGAACACGCTGGTTAATAATGTGGACATTACACTTAACACCTTCCACTTCTGTTTCTTGGTTGTTGGTGCCTCTTTTTCATAACTCATTACATCTCAGTAGGAAACCAGATAAGACAATTAGGAATGCTTATTGTAGTTGTGTGAGGCTCCCGTCTTATACAGCCTCAAGTCAGAAAAAGTTGGGGACAAAATTCCCCCGACACAATGAATCACTTGGTGTCCTCAGTCCCTAATGGCAACATCACACCTATAGTAAGAGCTACAGTAATCACAAACTTTTAGTGGGCCTACTTCAGTCAACACATTAAAATTTCTGATGAAACCAGAGAAGGGAGCAAAGTTGGGGCTATCAGCGAATGTGTTCAAAAAAGTAGCTGCTAACACTAGCACTGTTATTTGTGCCAGATTTACTGGTCTCAGCTAACTTCAGTGTGACTGATGTTATTTCCTCTGATTCAGCATTTCATCTTCCTATGTGAGTAGCAATGCTTGCTGTACTCCCGGTATACTTGATACAAACACTGCATCGTTTATCAACAATCTCTTTACTGTTTTTGCAGAATCTGAACTACTTCCAGACTTTGGCCGTAGACTAGCTGGAGCATTTAACACGGTAAGCTTCTGACATGTCTTTGTCTTGTGGGAAAGTTTTTTTTAGGACCTGTGTTGCTAGAAGGAAGCATGCAATTGGATGATGGCACACGTGCACACTCACACTAGAGACTGAAACACAAAGAGAAAAAACAAGAAACTTGGCAAAGATCCACTTTTGATATCCATGTCAATTTAAGATCTTTGTTAAGAGAATTTGGTTTGAATATGTGGTTTTGAACTAATCGTCTGTACCTGCATCAGCTTTCAATTTTCCGATACATATCAATTAATATTTACACCCCTATTATTTAGGTTTGAGCAACAGTAAGTTGACAGTGGGATTAGGCTAGTTGTGGCCGCTGCAGGTTAGGGATGCATTATGTCAACATAGGCCCTGATGAATATACAAATACAAGTGTGTCTATGTGTGTGTGTGAATGGGAAAGAGCATGAGAAATTGAGAAAGGGAAAGAAAGTAAGAGACAACTGTACTCACCCACAGTGTCACAGGGTTCATCTTTATGAACACAGAAATCCGTCCTGAAGGAGAAACCAGACTGAGTTTACAGCACTGATTTATTGTAATTCTATAACTATTCATGTAAACATACTGTATATCTGTGTTAACTGTTACTATACAAAAATGTTATGGGGATAACGGTGCACATTTTCAGACAGTCCCTGCTGGAAAATGATCATGATGTTGCACTCGGATGTAAATGCCAAAACTGACAAATAGTTGTGTGAAGAAAAGAAGAAAAAGCTAGAGAGAGAATTTCACACCCTGCTTACTTTCTTATATTTTACCATTTGCAGTTACAATAGCTTTGGGCTCACACTTGCACTTAAAATTTGGATCATGGGATATTCCCATTTCTAGCCCTGTGCTGACTAAATTCCACTCCAGATCACAGTTATCTTTGACTTTTCAGTGCAAAAGCAAAATTCAATTTCCCTGTCTTTTAAGGTTAAAGGGACATTTACATTGGTAATATTTCCCAGGAAAATGTTTGGTAAGGCTTTAGAATACAACCTGCAACTTACTCTGTAAGTACATCAAATATAGAGTATATCTTTCAGAGTATGAACAAATACATGCTCATAGGTATAAGGGAACAATATGTAAACTGTTGGGAATAAGGGTGTAACAAGCTGGAAACTTGAAAATTAATTATACTATAAGTATTTTTAACTAAGGGGCACCTATTTTAATATTACATGGCATCATATGCTTGGCAACAATCTTATCTTTGGATCAACTTAGCCAGAACATATACTGTAAGTATTACTATTATTAAGTATGGGGTACCTTTTCTGTTATTACAAGATACAATATAGAGATTACTGAGCAGCAGAACTGGACATTTGGGGAAATGGCATCATGCACTTTTTCCACTTTATCTAAAAATTTTTGGATCTGCTTACCTGATGAATGTGTATGGCATTGCTCTCAGTCACTTCATTGCAAACCCCCCACCCCCGCCAACACACACATCGTTCTGCAGTTTGAATGACCTTTCAGCTTTATGCAGGACTTTCGTTCCCAGGAAATACAATATAACATGATAAAACACCCCCTCCTTGAACTGCCACCTTATTGTGGTGGAGGGGTTTGAGTACCCAAGTGATCCTAGGAGCTATGTTGTCGGGGGCTATATGTCCCTGGTAGGGTCTCCCAAGGCAAACAGGTCCTGGGTGACAGGTCAGACTAATAGCGGTTCAAAAGCCCTTTATGAATAGATTAAAATCAAGGACCGTGACGTCGCCCAGCATGGCGCAGCCGGGGCCCCACCCTGGAGCCAGGGGTTCGAATGCAAGCGCCTGGTGGCCGGACCTCCCCTCACGGGGCCCGGCCGGGCTTAGCCCGAATGAGCGACGTGGGGACGTCCTCCCGTGGGCCCACCACCTGCAGGAGGATCCGCAAGGGGCCGGTGCACAGTGGATTGGGCAGCAGTCGAAGGCAGGGGCCCCGACGGCCCGATCTCTGGACACGGAGACTAGCCCTGGGGACATGGAATGTCACCTCGCTGGTGGGGAAGGAGCCTGAGCTTGTGCAGGAGGTTGAGAGGTACCGGCTAGATATAGTCGGGCTCACCTCCACGCACAGCTCGGGCTCTGGAACCTTACTCCTTGAGTTTGCCAGAATCTCTTCGAGGCCGACCGATAGTCCTTCTCCATGGCCTCACCGAACTCTTCCCAGACCCGAGTTTTTGCCTCCGCAACCAGCCCGCTTGGCCTTCCGTTACCCGTCAGCTGTCTCAGGAGTCCCATGAGCCAACCAGGCTCGAAAGGACTCCTTCTTCAGCTTGACGGCATCTCTTACGTTCAACGCCCACGTGGGCAGCGACAGTGACACCTGGAGGGGCGTGATTGGGAGGAACGGCCCCCCGATCTGAACCCGAGTGGTGTTTTGTTATTGGACTTCTGTGCTAGCCACAGTTTTTCCATAACGAACACCAGGTTCAAGCATAAGGGTGTCCATCAGTGCACATGGCACCAGGACACCCTAGGCCGGAGGTCAATAAACGAACTTGTTGTTGTTTCATCTGACCTCCAGCCGTATATCTTGGACACTCGGGTGAAGAGAGGGGCAGAGCTGTCAACTGATCACCACCTAGTGGTGAGTTGGATTCAATGGCAGGGGAGGAAGCTGGACAGACCCAAACGGTTTGTGAGGTTTTGTTGGGAACATTTGGCAGAATCCCCTGTCAGAGAGATCTTTAACTCCCACCTCTGGCAGAACTTCGACCAGATCCCAAGGGAGACTGGAGACATTGAGTCTGAGTGGGCCATGTTCTTCGCCTCCATTGCCAATGTGGCCACTCGGAGCTGTGGCGGGAGGGCCCTGGTGGCCGTTGT